TCTGTGATCTTGATGCTTTTTATGCCCCAAACTTCCTTTGGAAAACTTCAACCTTGTAAAGTAGGATGAAGCACTTCAATTCTTATTGGCCTGACTTGACTTCCCCAAAGTGCAGAGGAGGGGATCATTGCCCCCCTGGAGGCCAGAAGTGACAGGAACAAAGACTGTGCCAGCTCCACACCTAGGGGAAAACCAAGAGGGCTAGGACAGAGAGTGGACACTCAGGAAGGCCAGAGTTAGGCCAGCATTAGCTACCAGTGCTCCCTCCTGCCTGGACAACAATGCCCATCAAGGCGGAGATTCTTAACTTGGGCTATATGAACTTTATACATATATATATGTGTGTGTGTGTGTGTGTGTGTGTATGTATATATAACGTTATTATATCATATAATTATATAATATATATAATATGTATATATAATGATATTTTATTATATAATTATATAAAATGCATATATAATACATGTATCTATAATTACATGTATGTGTATATACATGCATATAAAACTGTATTTCAATATATCTGATCTATTTATAATCTTCTAAATTTTGTTTTGTGGATTTAAAAACCATGATTTGGAAAATCATTGGTGTGTAGGCTTCATCAGTTTTCCAAAGGGGTCTGCAATACACAAAACAGGTGTGTACTGCAGGAGGACCCCTGCATTTAAATCGCACCTCAGCCCCCACAGTGCTAGCTCGAGCTACTGTTTAGCCCTCGATTATTTCTGAGCCAAGACCTTCAGCCTCCTTGCTACCTTACCCTGGAATCCTAGAGTCTGGCTTCGAAGGGACCAGAGAGGTCACCTGGTCCAGCCCCTACCTTCTGTTTACCCCCTCCTCTTCCTGTCTTGTGCCCTCACTGGTTCCCATGTGCTCTATAAAGCACTTTCCCCACTCTAATGCTGTGTGGTTGCCACTGCAAATGTTATTACTGCTTCCTCCCCCTTGCCCCATTCTACAGAGGAGGAAACCAAGGCACTTCACCAAAGTAAAATAATGTGCCCACAGTCACGTAGGCAGCTCTAAAGCCCAGCCCTCATGACTCCAAATCCATAGCTCTCTCCATTTAAAAAGGTGCCTCTCCAGGGCAGCTGCCCTGCTAACTCTACCCTGGCCTCATCATTGGCCACAGGATTTCCTATGGGGAGAGAAGAGAGTCTTGGTAAATGAGGTTTTTACTCCTGGGGGCAATGGCCCTCTGATCTGGCAATTTAATGGCAGCCATAGCATGAGGACACTGGAGGCAGTCCACGGAGAAATTTGGATGTTTCATATTGCCTGAGCTAGAACATCGGCCTTTTCCTGTTTCTCTGGCCTCTTGCATGATCTCAAAGCACTTTTCAAAACTGCATCCCAGTCCAACCCTCCTTCTCAGCCTCACCTGCTAGACGCAGAACCCAATGCTGCATTGCATGAGAAGCGGGGGTGGGGGGGGTGATGAGAAAGGCAAATCAGTGGGTGGGAGCCCTTGGGGGAATATGATGAAGGGTAGATTTCGGCAAGGAGCTGTCCCTGGTTCTGGTCTAGCCCAGCCTGGATCCCTAAGATTACAGGGCTGAACCAGCCGTCTTTAGAGTCCAGGAGATTCAGGTCAGCACCACAGCTTCCAGAGCCCCTCAGTTTATGGTCTCAGATCTGCATTCTGATGGCCACTGCAGAGGATAGAAGAGATGGGGGTGAGGGGCAGGGGTGGAAGGGTATGTGTGTTTGAGCCTCATGCCCAGCTCCCTCTGCCTTTAGCTCCCTAACAGCAGCGCTTTTGGAGGGAGCGGGTCAACCCAGGCCATTGTCTGCTTTGCAGAGCAATGAGGAGGTCATTGGTGGTTCCTTGATCCCTACAGTGGTCCCTTCATCACCTCCCTGGGGGAAGGATGGCAAACCAACTGTAACCTATCCTCCACTCACCCCCCCCATCCTTTCACTCCTACCAACTCCAGGAGATGAGACCATCTTTCCCAAGGGGTCTTATTATTTTCTATTCTACCCCCGCCTCCTTGGAGGAACATAATCAGAGAAGGGAGTTGGGAAGTTGGAGAAAAACTGAATGGTGTGTGGCTGTTTGGGGCTTTCTCCCCCTCCCCCCGGGGAAGGGGACAGGGGAAAGTGGTAAGCAAAGGTTACACCCCCCACCCCAGATAGAGGGAAATGGGGCTGAGGAAGATTCTGAGGATCTGCCCCTGTCTCCCACTGTCCTGTCCCACCCTGAGGGGAGTGCTGAAGGCTGCTCTCACCACCCTGACCTTTGGAAGTTCAATAAGGAGCAAAGGAGAGTAGTATTAGGGAGGAACACCCCTCCCTCCTCAAGTTTAAAGCTTTTCAGGCAAAAGAGGCAGTGAGAGCTACACAGGACAAAGAGCCAGGATGTCCAGGCAGGAGGCCCTGCCTGCTGGCCACAGCAAGGATCTATGGTCCTCCTTCTAAGAATCTCCAGGAGCCCCGCTTTATTTTGTCAGTGACCAAGGCAGAGGGGTGGGACCCTAAGTGCTTAAGCAAGCCAAGTGATTTGCCGAAGGGCACAGAATTACCCTTCGAACCTGGGTCTTCTCATTCCAAATCTGGGGTTCTTTTCTCCTCTAACCCTTAGCCTCTAACACAGTTGCTTCTCGCATCCCTGTCTTAATCTTCTCTGGCTTACAGACTCTGCTAAGGGGGGAAATGAAAGAAGAAGAGAGGAGAGAGAGGAAAAAAAAAAGAGGAGAGAAGAGGGGAGCTAAGGAGAAAGGAAGAAAAGAGAGGACAAGAGAGAATAGGAGGAGAGGGGAAGAGAGCAAGGAAGAGGGGAAGAGAGGGGAGGAGAGGGGAAGAGAGCAAGGAAGAGGGGAGGAGAGGGGAAGAGAGCAGAGAGGAAGAAAGGGGAGGGGAGAAGAAGGGCAGCAAGGAGGGGAAGGACAGGGCAGGAAAAGGGAAAGGAGGAAGAGAGGAGGCAAGGACGTCGTCAGCTGCTTCTCCCCGCAGCGTCTGTCACATCTTTCGCCGCTGACAGCCACTGTGGGGTCCCCAGTGAGGGCAGAAATCTGGCAGCAGAAATAGCAGCTTCTCTCTCCTGGTGGCAAGCGGTGGGAGGGGTGGGGGCTGAGCTCAAAAACAGCTGAGACTCCTCTGGCCCCACTGGTGTATGCTGTTTCCCCCATCCCCCTTGGGGAGGGTGCTGCCTCCCGGCACTGTCTGTCACTGCCTGGCACACGGCTGGTGCCCGGGAATAATAGCGGTAGGGGCTGGCAAGGTGGGGTCGGAGACAGCAGGGGCTGGGGACAAGGCAAGGGTGGAGGGGGAAGTGGGGGAAGAGGAGAAGCAGATCCCATTTCCTAGAAGAGAGGGTGAATCAGGGCTGCAGCCAGGAACCTTCCCCTCTTATTCCCCATCTCCATAAGCATTCGATTTAGTGTTGTGAGGAAGAAAGGAGGTCCAGACCAGGAGAAAAATTATTAAGAGACAAAGCCCGAGCTGGACAGACCTCCCATCTGGGGGGCTGGTGGGTTGGCTGAGGGCAGGCCTGACCGATTGCTGTGGTCCCTGAATCTTTTATGGAGGCAGCTGTGGGAACTTAAACCAAGTACCCCAGCTCTCTCCTTCCAAGCCTTCTCCCAACTGGCTTCCTAGTCATAGGTCATATCTGTGTCTCTCAAGTGCTCTGCACACAGTAGGCACTTTAAAGTGCTGAGCTCTTGCATTCTCATCTCACCCCATCCATCTCCACACCTTGGCTCTTCACTCCTTAGGGGTCAGGTCCGAGGTTGGGGGTCAGGGCTACCCTCTTCTTGCTGTCTGGTGAAGTCCTATCTTTCTTCCAAGGCAGCCCAGGGACCATCTCCTCTGGGAAAGGGAAGGCTTGACTTGTCCCTCCTCCAATGTCTCTGAGCACCTTCCTGCACCTCCCTTACCCTTGAATCACAGTAACTGAATTGTCTTTCCCCCCATTAGATTGTTAAGGTCCTTGCATACAGGCCTTGTCTACACGGAGCCCAAGGTTTGTAGACAGTTGACATGTAACAGTTACTGACCTAAACTCTATTTCTACTTCCATGGGCCCAGGGGAAGAGAGGGCCTTGATTTGGAAGCAACACACCGGGGACAGAGTGTTGGCTTGGGAGTCAGAGGATTTGGGTCCAAATTGCAGCTTTGTCATGACCTTGATGACCTTACCCTCCCGGGCCTCAGTCTCTTCGTCTGTAACTCCCTGTCCTCTCAGGTCCCTTCTAACTCTAAGGCTGTGAACCTATCAATAATTAATAATATTAATGCATTATTACAGATAATTGCTGTAGGTGAGGTGGCTACTGTGGGTATCATTTCCCCCATTTTACAGAGGGTAACTAAGTCTTGGGGATTCAGTGACTTGCCCAAGGCCATGCAGAGAGTAACTGCAGAGCTGCTCTTCAAACCCAGGTCCCCTGGGGGCTTTTCACTTGTCCACAGTGACCTGGTTGGCTTCTCTGCTCTTGAGGAGGACAGAATCAGCTAGCTGTCCAGGCTGAGACCCTGGAAGCTGGCATCTTCTGCCACCCTCTTTGGGGATTGCTGGAGCTGGAAGGCAGAAAGACTGCTGATTCTCTCCATGTCTACCCCTTTCGCCCAGGATTGCTAGGTTCCTCCCCATGGAGGCACCTCCTCCACTGGAGGCAGTACCTGGGTAGCTTTGGTGGCCATCCAGTGACACCGTGTGGCCAGCTGACAGCAGTGGCCCCCTCTGGTGGTGTCCCTGGGCAGTGGGTGGCTGGGTGGTAGGTGTGTTTATGGAAGGAGCTGGACAAGGTCATGGTTAATGGGCTGGTGCCAGCCTTTCCTCCCTTGCTCCCAGCCCAATAACAGCTTGGCCCCTTCAGCTTCTCCCAGGCTTGGTGCTGACTCAGGAGACTGCGTATCACCTCCTGGCTCATCCTGTCCCCGAGGAATCCAGAGTGAGGACTCCATCAGCCCAGTCTGCCCCTTCTGGCTCAGCAAGGCCCCATTGTTTCCTATTGTTCTTCTGACTCTATGTATCTCCTCCCTTCTAGACTGAAGCAGGCATCTCCAGGAAGCTTCGGGGGGCCCATCGGTACTCTGCACAGCCCTGCTTTGTCCAGTTTCATCCCTCAACCACTGCACGCCCTGAAGACATCCCTGCCCACTGGGCTTCTCCACCATGTCCTCTGAGCCCACCTCACCCCCAGTAGTGCCGCCTCTGCACTCCCCCAAGTCCCCTGTCTGGCCCACCTTCCCCTTCCATCGTGAGGGGAGCCGGATCTGGGACCGGGGCAGCAGCCTCCTGCTCAGAGACCTGCCTAGCCCCCTCCCCACCAAGAGAACCAGGACCTATTCTGCGTGAGTACCCACACTAGCCAACCCTGGCTCTTCTCTCTCCCCAGGGCCCCTTTCCCCTGGAAGCCTGGGATGGAAGGGGAAAAAGCATTGAGTCTGCTGGCAGAGTTGTGGTCCATCCGAGGACTCCCTGGATGGGATGGGGTAGAAGATCCTCCCCCTCCCCCTTCCAATCTTGGGAACTGATCAGACTCCAGCTGGGGTCATTGCTGGGGCTCTGGAGCCAGGCCTGGGTGGAGGAAGGGGCTGGAACACAGGCGGGGTGACTCCAGGAAGTGACCTTAGAGACCCTCCAACCAAGCCCCCTTTGGACAGAGAACTGAGGCCCAAGGGAGTGAGGAGACTTTCCTAAGGTCACAGGTTCTGATTCCTTTTTTTTGGGGGGGGTGAGGCAATTGGGGTTAAGTGACAGCTAGTGCCAAGTGTCTGAGGCCGGATTTGAACTCAGGTCCTCCTGACTCCAGGGCCAGTGTTCTATCTACTGCACCACCTAGCCGCCCCTCTGATTCCTTTTTCAATGACTTTTCTCTACCCCATAAATGGCTTGAAGGCCACAGATGACCTCTTATCCCTGGAAGTTCCAGTCTCCTCATTCCATAGTCTCTCTGAATAAAATCAGTGAAACAAGAAGCATTTATTAAGCACCTACTGTGTTCCATGCAATGGACATACAGAGACCAAAAATAAAAAAGGTTCTGCCCTCGTGGATTTAGTTCTACAGGATACAAAAATAAAAGTTATCTCGTTGATGCAGCTCCCAACTCCAGCCCCAGGCTCGGGGTTCCAGGCCCATCTCTGACAATGGGGTCCATAGAGAATTAAGAAAGTAATGGCACCAGCAGGTTCCCCTGGACTGTCCCCCTTTTGAGCCCATACATAAACCAGGCATTTATTGTGTTTAGTATGTGCTAAGTGCTAGACATACAAAGAAAGGAGAAAGCAGTCCTGCCCTCAAGAAGCTTCTGCTCTAAGGGGGTACATAATCTAGATGAAAGAGAACATAGGAGAAGAGAGAGGAGGGAATCCTGGAGGTGATAGTATGGCAGCTGGGGAGGACAGAAAAGGCCTGGAAGCTAGGGATTCTCAGAGTCTGATGTCAGGAGGGAGAGCCTCCAGGAGTGAGACCAACTGACCGCCATGAAAACTCGGAGATGGGAGGAGCAGGGCGTTCAGAGCCACCAACAGATCAGTATGGAGGCTGTGAAGGAGAATAAATTTGAGAATACTGGAGAGGTGAGAAGAGGCCTTTTAAAAAGCTTTAAATGCGGGGCAGCTAGGTGGTGCAATGGATAGAGCACTGGCCCTGGATTCAGGAGGACCTGAGTTCAAATCTGGCCTCAGACACATAATACTTACTAGCTGTGTGACGCCGGGCAAGTCACTTAACCCCATTGCCTAACAAAAACAAAACAAAACCAAAAAAAAGCTTTAAATGCCAAACAAAAGTCTATTTGATTTTGTAGGTGATGGGAACCATTGGGGTTTATTGGGGGGTGGGGGAGAACATGACCAGACCCAAACATTAGAAAAAGCATCTTGGCGGGTGAGTGTAAGAGGGGCTGGAGGCAGGGAGGCCGATAAGAAGTCCATTCCAATAGTAGAGGCTATAGAGCACCAGCCCTGGAGTCAGGAGGCCCTGAGTTCAAATCTGGCCTTAGATACATAACACTTACTAGCTGTGTGACCCTAGGCAAGTCACTTAACCCCATTGCCTAACCCCCCCCCCCAAAAAAAGAATAACCAATAATAGAGGCTAGAGGTGATGATCTATGTGGTGGCTGTATGAGTCAAGAGGTCATAGAAGAAGAAATTACAACGTTTGGCAATTTATTAGATCCCTGGGCTGGTCAAGAGAGAGGAGGTGAGGATGATGGGAAGGTTGGGTACCTGCAAGATCAGAGGGGTCATGATGCCCTGGTTAGTAACAGGGAAACTGGGAAGTGGGAAGGGTTTGGGGAGGATTTGATCCAGTTCCAAATGTCTGCGAGGTAGTGGAGGTGCAGGGTTTGTCTAGAGCTCAGGAGAGAGGTCAGGGCTGGATAAATTGAGCTAGGGATTATCTTCATGGAGATGATAATTGAATCCATGGGAGCTTTTGACATGGCTAAATGAGAGAACAGAGAGAGAAAAGGAAAGAGCCCCCAGGACAGAGCCTTAGCAGACAGCCACCCAGCCGCATCAGCCTCAGGCAGGTGGAAGGAAGGGGCTTCTTCTGGTTCCAGAGGCTCAGCTCCCCCTGCCCCCCACCCCAAGATCTCGTAGCTAGCACATAAGAGTGCAAAGCCAGATGTTCTGGGTCTTCCTCTTCCTCTTCCCAGCTGGTTCTTACCAGGCTCCTGGCCCTCTTTGGCCAAGCTCTCAGCTCCTTCATTCTCCCCTCCAGTCTCCATAACTGGGAATGTCTGGGGGCTCCTTCCCTAATAGCTCCCTCGGGCTCTCCCACTCCCTCAGGCTACTCCCAGGCGCCCCGGAGAGTCCCTTCTGGTTTCCTTTGCCTCCGCTCTGGAGGTCCCTCTCAGATTTCTCTCCCCACTCTCCCCTTCTTTTCTCTTCCTCCTCCTAGCACTGCTCGGGCCTCAGCTGGGCCCATATTCAAGGGCGTCTGCAAGCAGTTTTCCCGTTCGCAGGGCCATGGCTTCATCACGCCAGAGAATGGCACAGAGGACATATTCGTCCACGTGTCTGAGTAAGTCCTGGGAGGGGGTGGGGGCGTGGGCTCACCCCTTAGCTTCTGCTTCAGAAACTCCGAAGCAAGCCATTATTGGTGTTCGTGTTTCCTTTCCCAAAAAGCACTTCATTTTTAGAGAAAGGACTTATTTTGTAGTGAATTTGCACATTATTTTTAGTGTCTGAGGGCTCTGAAATCCCCACCCCTCGGCAGTCTCAAATATGGCCATTAAAGCCCCAATACTTGAGGCCTTGAGTGCAGTGCTGGCCAAACCCTCGGTGTTGGGGGTGGGTGCTAGGCTGGGAAGTTGCTCTTGAGGTGCCTTGGGGAAGCTCAGAGCCCTTGTGGCCCACAGAGCCGGGGCTCAGAGCAGCTGTCTTTGGGCCTCGGGCCCCTCCCTCACTGGTCTCAGGACTCACACCTTCCTTCTCTCCCATTTGAACCACAGCATCGAGGGGGAGTACGTGCCCGTGGAGGGAGACGAGGTGACCTACAAGATGTGCCCCATCCCCCCGAAAAACCAGAAGTTCCAGGCGGTGGAGGTGGTCCTGACCCACCTGGCCCCCCACACTAAGCATGAGACATGGTCTGGCCAGATCATTGGCTCCTAGGCCGCAGCACCGGGGTGGGGAGGGGGCAGGAAGGGGGCCCCCCAGTTCGAGCCCACCTGGGGTTGGGGAAGAACTCAGAGAGAAGGGAGAAAGCAGGCGGAGAGCCCAGGGGCAACCCACTGCCAGGCTCTGGCATTTTTCTGCTGCCCCCTCCCACTTCTGCGTAGCTTTTTCATGTATGTGTGTATGTGGTGTTATTTTTCCCCCTGTTTGTACTGTTGTCCAAGCTATGGGGAGAGATCCAGGCTGAGACAACAGAATCGGAAAGAGCTTCCCTCTCCTCCCCGGCCCCATCCTCCCCTCCTCCCTGGATTCCCCAGGACCACTGGGACCAGGGGAAGGTGTTAGCCACAAGACAGACTGCCCTTCCCACCTCTCTCCCCTCCCCTCAGAATAGAGCAGATGCTCGGGGCGTCACTGAGTCCTGTGGATGGAGGATCACAAATGGAGCCTCTTTCTCCTCCTGCCCCTTCCCCCCTTCCATCCCCGCTTTACTCTAGGAGAACCAGTCCCTGGAGAATGGCAGGATGTGAGCCCCTGCCTCCTTCACAGATAGAGCTTCCCTTGTCTCCCCCACCCCGTGCCTGGGGGGCTAAAGGACCTCAGTTGTTTTTTTGGACACCCCCTCCCCCAACCCCAGCACAGGGGAGGGGGGGGACAAAGAAAGCATGAACAGCATCTCCCCCACCCTGGTCTTTCTGGGGACAGGGCTGGGGGAGTGCCTACCTGTCTTCCCACCCTGGGCTGCCTCTATTTGGGAAGACACCTTGCCCCGCTCTCTTTAATGACTTTGTACTGATCTGGGACTCCATCATGAGTATGCTCTACAATAGGGGGAGAGCCCTGCTCAGCACTGTGCCATCCCACCTTCATATGGGCCCCCCCTCCCAAACCTGAGTGCGGGTGGTTCCTGCATCCCCCACACTCTGTCTCTGTAGTACCAACTCTGACCTTGTCCCTTCCCTGTCTCCCCCACATCGCCCAATGACTCCCTTTTCCTTCAGTTGCCACACTAATGTAATGCACTGTAGATACTGGCCAGACTTAGTGAGGCCAGGAGGGTTAGATAGGGGTTGGGGTGGGGGGGTTTCGGTTAGTGTCAAGTACGCCTCTCACGCCAGGAAAGGGGCAGAGTGGATCACCACAGCCAGGGCTGGGGCCTTCCCTCAGGGCTCAGGCTCCTGCTGGGGTCCATCAGATAAGGAAAGCTGGGTGGAGGGGGTTGGGGCACGGCACCACCTGATTCTAGATAAGCTGGGGGTGGTAGTGGAGGAAGCTGACTGCTGAGTGGGGGACAAAGCCTTCTTCCCAGCCCTTGAGATGGTGACACAGGGTAACTTTTTTTATTTGGGGGTTAGGCACCGGAAAGCAGGGGCAATGACAGAGAAAGGTAGAGCACCTTACAGTTTACAAAGCCCATGCCTTCCCATTTTGACCCTCAGAAGGTCCTCCTGGGAGGTGGACAAGGTGGAATTGTCTCCAAACGGACCTGGAACCAGAAGTCAGCTCTCTGACACCTGGTCCAGCATCTGCTTACTAAGCTGAGCCGTCTTCCTTCAGGGCCTGTTTTCTCCAGTCAGGGAATCCATGGTCAAAGTGGGTCATCCCCACTCCTAGTCTGGGGACCCCAGAAGCATAAAAACCTCCCTCTCCCCCAGCCCCAACTGAGAAGGACCCCAGGAATTCCCATCGCCGCTCACCTAAAAAAGCGTCCGATGGAGGGTCTGTGTGGGATCGCTTTGGAGCTGGCCCGGTGGGGGGAGGTCATAGGCCAGTCACCCCTTCACGTGAGTTCTCAAGACCACTCACATTTGTTGAACGTCCCAGATTTAGATTGTACCAAGCCTCCGGTTCTTTCTTGCCCTCCCGTCCGGGCCCATGGGTGCTCTTCTCTGCCTAGCTTGGTCGGGCAAGAAATGTGGAATGGAAAGAGGGGGGCCCTCCTAGCCTAACTCCTTCCCCTTTCAGGGGTGTGGGGAGGACAGCACCTCCCTTCTCTCTTATCCCCCTAGAAACCATTGTGTGTCTTTGAAACTTCTGTGTGGTTCCCATCCAGCAGACCTGGTGTCCAACCTTTGTAATTCTGGCAATAAATCATTAGGAGTGGCCTTTGTCTCCTGGCTTCTTCAGGCTGTTGGAGGAGAGGAGTGGGAAAAGCTGGAGTGGGTTGCTTAGGAAGAAGGGAGTCCCCCTCCTCATCCCAGCACAATGGAAATTCCCAGGGATCTAGAAGCCATCCGTCTTTGTCTTACTCTTACAGGGGAGCACACCCTACCATACACTCAGGGCAGAGACCACCCATCCTCGTTCCGGGTGCTCTGCACCTGTTTGCACACCAGCATTCCACACGTAGGAGGGACCCTGGGGCCACCTCCCTTTGGCACCCCATGGCCCTTCCCAAACTAGGGGCACAGTTTTTGGAGGAGAGGTCTTCATCCTGCATGGCTGCCCACTGTGGCTGTAGGCCAACAGCGGTTACTGACCTAATCTCCCTTCACTTTGGCTCCATCCACGGGACCCCTCCGAGCCCCAGTTTCTTCATCTACTAAAAGGGAGAGTTGATGGAGATGGTTTCTGGGGTCCTTTTGAACTGAAGGCCCATATTCCTATGGGTCCCATCTGCTGGAAAGGAAACTAGGGCTAGGCCGAGATGGATTTCTGTTGTTTAATAGAATTTGTGACATAACAAAGCTGTCTGTTGTCCAGAGCTGTGCCCTTCGCCCCAAGCAGAGCTTTTTCTTATACACATACACTCTCTCCAACATAAAAATCTCTTTTTTGCACAGAAAAACAAACACTGATTGATTCTAGGTGAGGATGGACAGTATCCTAGCGCAAGGGTGAGGTGTCAGGGCCTGCCGCCAGAGGAAGACCCGGAGGGAACAGGTCACATTGTGTGGGGGGGGTATCGGGACACATCAGGCCTAGGATGGTGAATTCTGGACCTCCCTTCCCACCTCTGCCAGGCAGCCACAAGGCAGTAGGGAGGGCGGAGGAGGCCACAAAGCCACCCACTGGCCCACAGCTGTGTGTCTTAGTTGAACGGCATGCCAGGGAGCTGATACTGGCTCTGGGTAGGAGGGAGGAATGAAGGGTGACCAGGGCACCAAATCCCTGCCTTCTAGGACCTGCCTCCTGGGCAAGGTGGGGTTTAAGCTCTTAGACATGCAAGGATAAGGCTAGCACCCACCTTCTGGGGAACCCCTGGTGTGCTGCTGAGTGGATTTCACCTTGCCCCTAATTCAAGGTGAGCCGAGAGGCAGGGAGGGAGTGGCCCACAGCCATCGCTTCACAAATGCTTACTGATGGACTTCCCCCCACCCTCCTGCTCTCCAGGCCCTACCAGAAGCTTGAGAGGGAAATGGGGGAGAGGAGAGAAAGAAACCCATCCCTTCCCACCCACTCTGGCGACCCTGTGACAAGAGGGGTGAACCATGGAAACCTGGGGCCAGAGATTAGTAACTTAGACCATGGACACCCTGGGGGACAGCTTAGGCCATCACCCACATTTCCTGTCTGTCTGTCCATCCGCCACCACGACAAAGCTTAGCTGTGCCCCTTCCACCCCAACACCCTTGCTCTGACTCCTTTCCAGCAGGCAGGCAGGGATGCTCTTCCTCTGCGGGGAAGGGGAAAAAAGATGCGGGCAGGGAGGAGGGCAAGGGCTGCTTCGAGCTGCCCACCTCCCCACCACCGCAGCCAGTTGGGGCTCCTTCTCCACGTGCCCTAGAGGTGTTGACAATCCCCAAGTGAAGAAGCCTCGGTCCCTGAGCCCTCGAGGGACGCCAGCCTCATGCTTCATGGGCACTCTCTGGAAAGAAGAGTTCACGGCACCTCTGCACTGTGTCCTGGGGAGAGACCACGCTGTGCCCCACCGTGCGGGGGTCGTCATAAATTTCGAAGTCATTTCCCCCCTGCAGAAGGAAGAAGAGAGGAGAAGTGGCTTTCACCCGCAAGGTCCAGGCCTTCTCCCCCTCAGATCACCTTGTATTTACCTATTTACTTACGTGACAGTGATGCAACCCTCCGCCTTCCCCCAACAGAATGTATGGTCCTTGAGGGAAGGGCCAGGTTTGTTGTTTTTTGTGACCTGAGCACCCAAGGACACACAGTAGGTATTTAATATTTGTTAAACTGAATGACCATGCCCACAGTGCAGCCCCCTCTGGGACACTGAGGCTGAGGAGCCACTCCAAAGAGGGCACAGCTGGGGAGCACATACAGGGATGCCGGGAGGAGGAGGTTCAGGGCAGGACCTGAGTGCTGGACTCCCGTCTGAAGGGCAGGCTGGGGAGGAGGGATGAGCTTTATTCTGCTGGTCCCCAGAGGGCGGAGCTGGGGACAACGGGGATAATCTAAATCTAGGTTTCGTTTCCTTTGTAAAACGGGGGCTTTGGATGAGATGACCTGCTAAGGCCCCTCCCTTGTGGTTCCAAACCTCACTGCACTACCACCCGAAGTTTCAGAGAGGCAGATTTTTGGCTCAAGAAAAATGAAAATGAGTTCACAATGAGAACTGTTCCAAGGTGGAAGAGCTGGCCATCCCCAGACGTCCAAGCAGGATGACGCTTGTGGGGAGACGTCATGCTTAGGCCTAGGCTTGAATCTCAGGTCTGCAGGTTCTGGAACTAGGGCGGTAGGACGGAGCAGATGACCCCTCTCCCAGCATCCCCTGCCCCCACCCGTAGCACCTACCTAGGGGCTGAGCGCACAAGAAATGCTCCAGACTAATCATGGCTTTGCCCACAGCATGGGGGGCCCCCGAAGGTTCTGGCCTAATCCCACCCCATCCCATGGGCCTCCACCTCCCTTCCCAAAGTAGCCAAGATGGGGAATGAGCCCTGGACTCACGGGGCTGGTCTCATTCCCAAAGAAGTGGATGGTGTCAAAGCTCTCCTGGTCCAGGCGATCCAGGCAATAACGCTTGTCCCAGCCCTCAGGGAAGACGTCAAAGCTGATCATGCCCCCCTGAGGGGCCAAAGGAGAAAGGGGATGAGAGAGCCCAGGGCTATGGCACAGGGTTGTGTTGCCTAGGCTGAGAGCTGGACTAATTCAAATGCAAGCTCCCAGAGGCCAGTCAGACTCCCGAACTTTCTATGTCTTCCCAGCACTTATTAGTGAAGGTTTAATAAATGCTCATTGATTGAGTGAGTAACTGAGCAGAGCTGGGATCTGCCCCAAGCTAGCTGTGTGACCTTGAGGAAGGAGCTTACCCTCTCTGAGCCTGTTTTCCCCAACATTAAACAAGAGGTGAAACCAGGTGGTCTCTAAGACTCCTTTTAGTTGTGAAAGAGGATCTGAGAGTGAATGCACCCCAGGTGAGAGTGAGGGTGCCCTGAGTCGAAATGGCCCTCAAGGGGTCAGTGGAAGGAGAGATCTACCCAGCCAGTTTCCATCCCACACACCTCGGGAGAACCTCAGCCCTTTGCCAGCAAACTCTGCCTTCAAGGCCTCCACGAATTTCTCCCGGATCTTTTCTTTCTGTAAGAGGGGAATGAACAGGGGAAAGACTCGTTATAATATGATATGATATGATATGATATATGATATAATTAATATAATATAATATAATTAATATAATATAATATAAACATTGTTTTACTCATATTATCTCATATACTGTTTACTCATCTTGTCATATTGAGTATCTCAATAATCTTTTTTTTTTCTGGCTAGATAATGGGGTTAAGTGACTTGCCCAGGGTCACACAGCTAGTAAGTGTCTGATGTCTGAAGCCAGATTTGAATTCAGGTCCTCCTGACTCCAGGGCTGGTGCTGTCTATATAATCTCATGAAGTGGGTGAGGCTATTACTACCACCCCATTTTCAGAGGGTCCTGGTTTCAGAGCTGGAAGGGGCCGCAAGATCACTGAGTCCACCACCTGATTTTACAGAGGGGAAAACTGAGGCCCAGAGGGGTTAAATAAATGACCAGAGTCACAACAGCTAGCCTGACTTAGGATGGGAACTCAGCTCTCCCTGGCCCTCTGGCCTCCACAAAAGGCTTATCTCCTTTGAGTCTGAGAAGGAGTAGCTTGGCCTTGCCCTGGGTCAAGGAAAGGCAGGCAGGAGGGAGGGCAGGCCTCAAAATCCCACTAATCCCCAAATCCTTGCACTGGTCCCTGGGCAAATTTCTCAGTGGGCAGATCGCCCCTTTGTGTCTGTGCTCTTCTTTCTGGATTGGCCAAAGACCATTCCAGGCCCAGGGAACATTCCTTCTTCTGAATTCCTAAACTCATCACAGAATCCCATCACTTTGTGCCTAGAATCGTTGGCTAGCTGGTGAAGTGGATATGGCACCAGCCCTGAGGACCTGAGTTCAAATCCAGCCTCAGACACTTACTAGCTGTGTGCCTTAACCCTGATTGCCTCCAAAAACAAAAAAAGATTAACTACTCCAGTCCGGGTCTGACTCTTCACACCAGCACTCCTTCAGGGCAGTAGGAGATCAGTCCTGCTCTTTGCTCCCCAACAAAGTAGGTGCTGAGTTAACAAACATTCATGGGTGTATTGCGCTCTCCAGAAGGCAGAGCAAAGATCTGGGAGCCAGGTGACCAGGGCCCGGAGCCCGCCTTGGCCCCTAAGGGAAGTCATTGACTGCTTCTGAGCTTCAACTTCCTTCTCTGTAAAATGGGGTCACAAAAGTTTCTACCCCCCTGAGTTGTTGTGAGGATAAAATGATGATATGTGTAAAGCACTCTACAAACTTTAAATTCTATAGAAATACTGGCTGTTGTAATAATAATAATTATTATTATTATAAGCCACCCCAGCTTGAAAGAATCTCCCATTCTTGCCCTACTGCCTCCCAGTGCTGTTTAGGAGGAAATGCTTCATGAATTCCAAAAATACTATGGAAACGTAACTTTTACGGCACATAAGAAAGAGCCCTGGATTTGGACTGCAGGGACCTGGGTTCAAATCCTGGTTCCTTTGTGATCTGGAACAAATCCCCTCCCCTTCCCAGGCCCTGCTTGACTCGGCTGTAAAATGATGGCCTTAGACCCACCAATGAGGAAAGCTGGAACAGCAGAGAGAACGCTGGATTCGGAGAGCCTCTGACCTCGGGAAGGGGACTGCCCTCTCTGGCCTCGCTTCCCTCCCCTG